CCCTTCCCGACAGCTCCTTACCTTATACTCTAATATACAATCAATATAAATCAAATAACATTTTCAAATACAAATCCATGACATTGTAGTTGTGTGCCATCAAGTTGTTTCCAATCTATGGTGACCCTTACGAGGTTTTCTTGGCAAGATTTGTTCAGAGGGGGCTTGTCTTTGTCTTCCTTTTAGGCCAAGAGCCTGTGACTTGCCCAAGGTCACTCAGGGCTGATGTAGACTGGCATTTTAGGCTGGCCTGGGGGTGGAGTTGTGGTGGGGTGACTGCACGCTGGCCGCTCCGACTCTGCCCCAACTCCGCTCCAATGTCATGCACCTCTCCGCCCAGCGCGCAGTGTCAGAGTGCCCTCTTGGCACAGTGTGCACACACGCAGCGCCAAAAGGGCACAAAAGAGCCACTGTGACAGCTCTAAGGGCTGCTTTTTGCCTCCCCCAAAAGGAGCTGCATTTTGCCGCTCTTTTGGGGGTGGAAAAAAGGAGGATCGGGGCCGCAGTGTGGTTGCCATGGCACCAATCCACTACTCCTAGTGGCAGCCCAAAGCCACTCCAAATGGGCTGTTTGCATCAGCCCTCAGTGGCCAAGTGGGGATTTGAACCCAGGTTTCTAGAGTTGTGGTCCAACGCTCAAACCACTACACCACACTGACTCTCACTGTCATACCAACTAGGAAATAACACATTTGGGCAATAAAGATCATCTTTATTAACTGTTTAAACCAGGGGTAGGAAACCTAAGGCCCGGGGGGGGGCAGATGCAGCCCCCCCCAAGGCCTTTGGACCGGCCCCAGGCCAGTCCTGCCGCCGCCTGCCATAATGATATTGATTATTGTTGTTATGACTTGTTCTTGGGGTTTTCTTGGCAAAATCTCCACAGGGGTTTTGCCATGGCTTTTCTGGGGCTGAGAGAGTGTGCATGCATATTTTTCATTTTTAAAAAAATATATATTTTAATATTTATTTATTTATTTATTTATTTATTTATTTATTTATTTATTTATTTACGGTGCTTCGGCCCTCCAATTGTCTGAGGGACAGCAACCTGGCCCCTGGCTCAAAAAGGTTGCCTACCCCTGGTTTAAACCTTTCCTGTTGAACTTTAATTATCTGCAAGGGGAAGGAGTCTCAAATGTGTTCCAGCTGAGGCAGGGGCTCACAAACTAACCACCCTGCTGGCCACCATGGATGAATTGCTCAAGGTCTCAGTGCCAGTCTACATTTTGGGTAGGCACCTAGCTAGCCATCAGCATGGGAGAACTTGCCAGAGAACCACCTCCTCCCATATCCCTAGAAATAAAGGGAAAATGTGTCTCAGCCTTGTCCCAAGGATTAGTCTGCTTTCCTACACCATACATTTTTAATGAACTGTTGCAGTCTTTCCTCATAGGATGCTTGCTTTAGTCCCTTGATCATTTTGACTCCTTTCTCCTGCAGTTTTTCCAGGCCTAGTATATCCATTTTGAGTTGTGCTGACCCAGAACTGTGCACAGTATTTCAATTGTGGCCACAGTAGCTGTTTTATTTTTGTTTAATCCCTCATTTAATAATATCTAACCTGAAATTAGTCTTTTTCACTGCAGCCATTCACTGGGTCAGTAGTTTTCCTTGATCAGTCCACCACAACCACAAGGTCAGTCACTACCAGCTCAGATGACATCTGGGTATAAATACCTACCTGTGGTGTTGTAAGGGTTGTAGGAGTTATGTCCTAATCATTTCCTGAGGCCCATTCACTTTATACAACTATAGCACTGCTATTCCACATTGACAGCCATAGCTGCATCCCATGGAATCCTGGGATTGGTAGTTTGGTGAGGCACCAGAGTTGCTGTTTTACTGAGAATCTGAAATACTACTCCTTAAATTCCAAATCATTTTGTGGTTTTATTGCAAACATCAACTTTATTCAACATGTTATAGAAATCTTACAATTTAACTTGTTAAATCCAGAGAGCAGATTAGCAGAATATGCATTTTTTTTAAATCAGTAAGTGAAATATATCTGTGATCTCTAACATTTGGGTCCTGGAAAATAAAAGCATACCTTCAAATACTCATGGAAAGAAATAGACCTCTTTTGCATCTTCAATCATTTTAGAAGGGATGTTTCTCTTGAGTAAATTACTGAACCTTTGAGGTCAACAATTTCACAGTTGTTCTTTAGAAGATTATCACTGAGAGTGAGATGTTAGAATAGTTGTTCACCAGCAATTGCCTGAAAGATTTAATTAAGCTGAAATGGGGAATTAGGCATTCAGCTGTGCTGGTAATGAGTTTTTTGGGCTACTAAAAACCTCACAAAACACTTGAAAATGCAAACGAAATACACATATTTACTCAGCTTTTCCAGTCCATTAGTACCACCAGCTCTAAAACAATAGTTTCACCAGGCCTGTATATTTTGAGAGGTATATGCATATTTGGCCTGAAGGTTGAGTGTCCACTTACCTCCAAAAGAAATGTTTTACCAAAAAGTAAGGTAAAAGAAGATAAAATGGCATCATATTTACATTTGCTAATTTACATGTATAGATGCAAAAATAATTGCTCTAATTTAAATAGAAATGCAATAAATCTCTCCATTTTAAGGAAAGTATTACCATGTTCTTGTCCATCTGCTCAATACATTGTCCATATGCCAGCTGCTGATAGGCAACTTACTACTTACTATTCCTTTTGAATGGTTTGGACAGCATTTCAAACCCACAACATCTTAAAACAGAGTGAATCCACAAATTATAGTTTTTTGTGGGTTTTTCGGGCTGTGTGGCCATGTTCTAG